TAGGAAAGATGCGGAACTGAGACCAGGTCTTGATGTTGACGGCTTGAGCTACATGAAAGGATTGTCAAGAGCTAGAATTGTAAAGGAGATGAAAGTAGGGAATGCGGACATCAATTTTGTCATCGATGAAAAGAGAGATCCAAGGATGAAGACTTGCTTTTTCAGTTTTGTGTGAATTAAAAATTCGTGTTCTTAAAGTGTGTTATCGACCGTCTCACAATATTTTGCATCGGACGACTTGGTGAGAAACTGCTTTTACTATGTTTTGTAACGCATCGTGAGGTCCCAGTGTTTTATTTTTAATTGTTTCGACATCACTTCGTCTTGTTCTTTCTATGTTTCGTTTTGTTTTTCAAATTTACAATAGCAGGATGGAAATTGCACCGGTAGTTCTACAACGACTGCGGCAGCGGAAAAGGAGACTCATAAGGGAAATGTACGGAGACAACTCGGATATGTATTACCCATTTGCCGCAAGAGCTTTGTTGGGACGCAGACCCTACGAATTCCATCCAAGGTTTGACAAATATGTTGACAATTGGGTCAGTAGATACAATGAGTTGACTTTTTTAGGCATTTTCGAATGACTCAAAGTTCTGTCACATCCTTCTGGATTTGCTAATACAATATCGTGATTTTCGTGTCAACAATGTCCACGGAAAGGAAATGGTTGAGCCTCTCCGATGTTCGCTCATAACATTGCGTTACCTACATCTCCTCCAAAAGGACTTATTAAGATCCGAGCAAAATGTTTAATGTATGTGAATCAACAGCCTTCAATGTTGTTGAAACAACTATTAAAAGCATCTTGAAACTGCATAAAACACTTATTAAATGACCGACAGAAGCTTGGGTGCTCTATATAATGACACAAGGGCGAAATATGCAGGCCTCCTTGGATGACGAAAGGGCTATTGCACATCCAGCTACTGAAGGTCTGACCTTAGCAACCAGCTAGAGGGAGAGTCTATGAACAAATGGCGCCCTATAGGGCAAGGTCGAGAAGTGAGTCCCGCCGTGAGACCAGTGCGGAAATTGACCAGGTCATCGGTTTTGGACGAGAGAAGGAGGGGTCAGCCATTTTTTCTCGTGCCGGGTTTGAGGTTTGCGACTTGGTGTTACTGCGTTTTCGGAGTCAGCGAATTGTTCAGTGCTTTGTGTTTTTAAATTATTATTTACCTTTACCATGACTTCCTTAAAGTCAGGGAATGAATCTGCGGTGGAGTAGACAGTAGATCTAGAGTTGATGGAGATCTAGAGTTGACGTATTATTCTACCCTGAAAATGGTAGCAATGTTGGTTGAGGCGAGGCCATATCTGTACAGCAAGGCGGACAAGGATTTCAAAGATGCTCGTTTTAAATCCAACGCTTGGGACGAAATTGCTAAAGAATGTGGTCTGTCTGCACAACAAGGCGGACCAGGATTTCAAAGATGTCCGTTTGAAATCCAACGCGTGGAACGAAATTGCTAGAGAATGTGGTCTAGCAAGTAAGTACTCCTTCCATACGTTGAGCTATCTTGTATGTTAGGTCATTCGAGAAGATCGTGTACCCCAGCGAAAGGTTCCTAGAACTCTCTGAACATCCGTCGGTAAGTGGGTGAAAAAGAAATGATGAGGCATTGGTGTGAGTTTTGAAGCTGGATGGTCAAGTCCGATGTATTGCCTCAATTTATTAGGTATTTATTTCTTAAGCATATTTATGAAACAGAAAAATTTGATTTATTTTTCCTGACCTCCATTCCTCAATTTTCATATCAAACCAAAGTTAGAGATTCGGCGTGTCAAATCAACGAGTTTTGGGTTCCGATCGCCACAAATTCTCGAGGAGCTGAGGCCAAAGAATTGTGCATCATCATCATCCTCATTTTTAAAAGGGAAACAGTGCCAGAGAAAGAAAAAGGTTGACCCGATCTATTCTTACTCCCAAGATTCTTCACAGTCGTCTTCGGTTAAAAACTCACATNTAGCCACGTTTAGTCGTTCGTACAATTGGAAAAGTTATTCTTATTGACGAGGTGTGGGAGTTTTGACCAAACAAGTTTGGTAAATTCTTCATGGCTGTAGAGCACATTTTTACCAAACGAGTTTGGTATATTCTGCGTAACCATCAGGTACTTTTTACCAAACAAGCTCAGTCAATTTTTCATAACTGCCAGGCACATTTTACCAAACAAGTTCTGTAGATTTTTCAAAGTTGTTTAGCACTTTTTCGTAAAAGTGAATGGTTCAATTGAACGTTTAGAAAGTTGATTCTCCAATGTAAGCCATGTAAAATTTCCAATTGTCTAAAAGCTTCTTTTACTTTTCTGTGTTTGGTAATTTTTACTAGTCCAATTGTAGTCACTTTTTTCTACTTTCTTAAATAGTAAAATCAAACATGCACATGGTTATTTCAACTTTCCTTTTTTTTCAGTGAACAATAGGAAATTTGTTAAAAGAGATATATCCATTAGAGATCTAACTCTTCCCTCCGACCAATGGATTCAAGACAACATAAAAAGTAGTACTAATCATACAGATAAAAATCTAACTAAAGATTCAATATCACCTACCCGTAAACATTAAACTCACATAGTCCAATCTCCCAAAAGCCCAATTCCTCAACCAACTAACAAAAACTCCCAAAATCAACCATCAACTCCAACATCCCTTATCAACCCTCTAACTAAACAAAATTAAACTTTTAATTTTAATTTTTAATTTTCTCAAGATTTAAAATTGATTAAGAAAAACGTAGACCCCGATCTATTCTTACTCCCAAGATTCTTCACGGTCATCTTCGGTTAAGATCACACAGCTAAGGCCTTGCAAGAATCAATCAGCAAGTATGAAAAGGCACATTTGATGCAACAGTCTGAAGATTTAAATATGAGTCAGAGAAAGGTTGACCCGATCTATTCTTACTCCCACGATTTTTCACGGTCGTGTTCCGTTAAGAACTCGCAAAGCAATCAGACTTCTTGATTTCAATGTATCAAAAATCAAGGTTATATTTAGGCATCCCCATGAGAGCAAAAGATCTAATTCCCCAGATTCTCCTTATTTAGGGTAAGAACTTACAAGGCAATTAGACTTCTCGAGACAATCCGGCCTATCAAGAATCAATCAACGAGTATGAAAAGGCACATTTGATGCAGCAATCTCAAGATTAAAATATGATTTGGATAAATCAAAAATCAAGGGTATCTTTAGGCATCTCCAAGGGAACCAAAGATTTAATTCCCTTCTTCGGTCGGTCTCCCCTTTTCCGTAATTTTTTTCTGGGCTCCTCCCCCCCCCCCCCCGGTCTTGTTCAATTTATCCTTAACTATCGTGTAAGTAATCGTTCTTACAAAACGTGACAGGAATTACATTCAAGTAACCTCTTTAGCCAATCAGCTTAATCTTTCCTCCGTTTAATTTTTTCTCAATTAATTAGCCTCCAGCTTCTTTTCAATGTTATAATCATGCCTCCGTGCCCTGATTGTAAACAAAATTTTGAACCCATCAACTCTCTGATAAATCATATCAAACAGTTCCATTTTAGATCTGCTTATGCCGATCCAATAAATTGTGGGGACTGCGGGAAACCATTCTCTGCATATCCTAATCTTCGTAAGCATTTTAAAACCTGTCGCATGAAGGTACAACTTGAAGACCCTAACTCTTTGCTAAGTGACACTGTGCATAATGCTACCGTGGACGTAGTTGTATCTCAGCCAATTGTCGAAAATAATCAGTTTAACGCACAAAATGTTAGAAGTTCAAGAATAGGAGATAGTTCCAAAGGCACAACTGCTGATCCTATTCAAATGCTGAATAAAGAGTGTGCAAACTTCATTGCCTACTTATATTCTCATGTGTCTTTGCAAAGAAAAATGATACAAACTGTAGTTGAAGGTGTTTCAGAAATCTTTAGCGCTGTAAGAGACATTTTAGTAGAAAAACTGGAAGAACACTTGACTGATCAATCAATGACAGATTTAATGCCTTTTGTTGCATCTCTATAGCAACGTCAATGAGATATAAAGAAGTTTAATTTTATCAAATTCACTCTCTCTGTACTCCGGCTGTTTATCTCATGTAATTAATTGTTTTTTAAATAATATTCTATCTTTATTATAAGTATAATTTCTTTTTATTGTTGACTCAACAAAATGGTGACCCCGACGTGATCAAATATAATAAAATACAATTGAAAAAAAGTTATTGACAAGGTTATGAGTAAAAAATTCCTATCATCATATGAAATTGTTCAGTGCAGTTAGCGTGCGCTTCCACTCAATAATTTCATTGATTATGGGTTGCAAGTTCATGTAGTTAGCGTGCGCTTCCATGACTTGCAAAAGTGACCTTTTGAGGATTTAAAACCTTTGCAGTTAGCGTGCGCTTCCAAAGGGTTAAATCCTAACCTTAAATTCTATTATCCTTGCAGTTGGCGTGCGCCTCCAAGGTAAAATACTACAGTCCTATTTATAACTGGAGATAATACCATGCAGTTAGCGTGCGCTTCCATGGTTTAAATCCTGATGGAACATTGTGCTCCAAAGGGACAGTGGCAATTTATGCCTATTAAATTTGGTAGGTAGCGTTTCGCTCCCCAAATCATGCAGACTCTACTTGCATAAAAAAAAAAAAAAAAGATGTAATGGCCACATCGCTTAAACATTGCGGAGGACGCTCCATAAGACAATGTACAAACTTGTATTTCAATTTTCCTGAACAACAGTTGTTTTAGGCTGTGTTGCCATTCCACACCAAGTTCAGGTTGCAGAAGAAATTAAGCTATGGAAGAAGATGAGGGAAATTTGAGGTTGGCAAGCCTTGATAGCATTAAACGACAGCTGGAACTTCAATTACAATGTTTCAAGCATGTTTTGGAGCAAGACTCAATAGATGTAGACGCTTTGAAAACCAGATTTGAATCCTCAAAAGGAATTCTAACTCAATACCTACGGGTATTTCAAGAATTAACAACAAAAAATCCAGCGGCATACCCGATTGATACTGTTTTAACATTTGAAAAACAATATTACGAAATTTTGGCTCAAGCAAACGCCTTTATAAATTCAGTGGATCCTAGATCTAATATGCCAGGTACTAGTTTGGAAAATCAATCTGTCGCAAGTCCATTCCCGGTAACTGACCAGTATATGATGAAATCATACTTAAAACCACCTAAAATTCCAACTTTTGATAGTAAAAAGAGTGAATGGCCTGCATTCATACAAATGTTTAACTCCTTAGTGCATAATAATACTGCTTTGTCAAATATCTTGAAGTTTCATTACTTAAAAATATTTAAGTTGTTGTCATATCCACTTCTAAGATTTAATTTTACTCTATTGGTTACTTAAAATTCCCCTTGAATTGGATGGAGCGGAAGAGCTCAGTGCTCGCAGCAAACCTTTGCCACCTACACCAGTCAGGCTGGGCTATATGGATGTAAAGACAAGTACATTGTGAGACCTTTGTACACTCATTCTTAGTGATTTTTTAGATTATAACATGAGCGTAATTCCTTCACGGTTACTCGACTAATTTTTATCTATCTCATTTTATCTTTCGGAGTTTTGAGACTCATTTAAGTTGTTGTCATATCCACTTTTAAGATTTAATTTTACTCTATTGGTTACTTAAAATTCCCCTTGAATTGGATGGAGCGGAAGAGCTCAGTGCTCGCAGCAAACCTTTGCCACCTACACCACCTTTTTTGTCCATGTGATCCATTTGCCTCTTTAAAGACAGACTTTCATAGATTACAACACTTTGAAAATTTAGGCACGTATGTAAAACCTCAAGAAATTGAGCTTGGAGAACGATCGGTACGGAAAAAAATTAAAAATAAAGTGCGAGTCACATCTATACCCGTGAAAGCTCAGTATATTTCACCAAAAGTATTCTTTAAGAAATTTTTTGATCAGTCGGATGTTCTCCAGAAAACACTTGATTTTGAGGGCAGAATGCTGGCAGAAAATTCTGTTTTGTCAAATTTTCTACAAGGTAAACAGTGGCAAGAGTTTTTAAAAGCTGATAAAAATAAAGGGAAAAAATTTCTTCCTTTCTTCCTCTATATGGATGAATTGGAAACAGGAAACGCTCTAGGGTCACATTCAGGAGTTCACAAGTTGGGTTGTGTTTACATATATATGCCATGCATTCCACCAGAATTTCGTTCCACTTTGAAATGTATCTTTTTATGTATGTTATTCCATGCTAACGACAGAAAGCAGTTTGGAAATGAAAAGTTGATCAAAAACTTAATTGAGGATTTTAACAGTTTATCAAAAGAGGGTCTTTTTTTTGAAAATGAAGCTTACTCCGGGAAAATTTACTTCCAGCTTGTCATGCTTACAGGGGACAATTTGGGCATTCACCAAATAACCGGGTTTATTAAAAAAAAAGTGTTTTAAAATAACCGGGGGATGATTAAAAACAAGTTTTTTTCTTCTCTAATCTCCAGGCTTATTCTTCATTTTTTGATAATGGAAATCAATTTAATTTACATTTTAAACTTTCTTTTGACTTTTTTTTTTTCGTACATTTTTCAGGTGAGAAAATGTCTGAACGGGAAAAGGAAACTGCGATAGCGGAATGCATTGGCATCTTAACTTCCACGCTTCAAGAAACGCAAAATTCGATACTACAGCTTGTGGAACTTGTCCAACCTGGATCTACAATGCTAAGTGCCCAGCCTGGGCCTGTAATGCATAGTGCCCAGCCTGGACCTGCAATGCATAGTGCCCAGCCTGGACCTGCAATGCATAGTGCCCAGCCCAGCCCAGCCCATCTCAGGCTGTTTTTCATTTTTTATTTTTCCACTGCAACCCAATTTCACTGCCTAGATTTGACTCGGCATTCTGAATTTTATTCTATTTTTTCAGAAATGTATTTATTTATATAAAATTTGTTTGGTCTTTTGGACTTGCATACTAACTACTAAAACTGTACCCATTTTCTTTGTTGTGTATTTTCCTTACCCACCCAAAATTAATTGTACATCGTCCAAATCTTTGGAATTTCGATCTGTATTTCTGTACTTTACTTTCGACTTTGTTTTTACTCCTACTAATTTATTTTTTGTCATTCCAATTTTATAAAATTAATATTCATTAACTCTTTTACAGTGTTGGTTTTGGAGGTCATTACGTGGTTAGATGCATTTCTGAAAACAGTAATAATATTAAAATTAATTTTCTAACCTTTTTCAATTGATTCAGATTGCTTAATCAATACATTATTCTAAATCTGTTTACCATTTCAGCTCCTAATTCTTCCAAAAACGTAATCAGAGAATAGGACATCAAACTGGCAACTATGGCGACAATCTTCGACCTCCCTTCTATAAATGGGGCTTTCGAAGTCGGCATAGCCATAGGTGTCCATCCTGCTTTACCCGACAATCATAAGTTGCCAATACTGGAGAATCTAAACTTGTCGAGAGCCGCAGGATTCGCTGCAGCATGGGCTACATAACCGAAACCCTGACCCTACAATAACCGAAGCTGCGCCACCTGAGGCTGTTACCCCTGATGCAATTGGTAAGGCCTTGTCTATTGTGATAGCTACCAAGGCCAACATGTATTTAATGAACCATCATAAGGGGCAGGGGCCCCTCCAGGGCTATGCCAAAAAGGTAGCGTTAGTTCAATATCCAACGGTGCACAAAAACGATAATGCAGTTGTCTCTAACATTCATACAGTAGGCCATTCGGCGAGCACAATAGTCTTTCGATTGGTCAAAGCTCATTTGGATTTTACTCTGAATACATTTTGTTTGTAAACGCTTATCACATTTTTTACAGTTTATTTTAGTAAATTTGCTGACTCTTTCTTGAAAATGTTATAAAAATTGACAGTTTGAAAACTGCATGGATCAGAAATTTAAGTTTTTTGGAGTCTCAAGTTGATGAATACAATTTGAGGAAAACGTTGAAATATTGGTCATTTAAAATTAAACTAGTATTAAAGTACACCCCTTAGAACAGTCAAATTTATCATCGCAATGCTACTTGCTGAGCAAGGTCACTCGATGATAATGATTCAACAATCAAGGCACAGGTGAAGTAGAGGTGGGAACTGGAGAGTGAGAGTGGCAATTTTAAAATGACTTTTGCACCAAAAAATCAATTACATCGAATTGATTTTTCAAGTGCGATTTAAAATAAGAATCCATTTTTTAAACCTCGATCTTCAATAATCAGTCTCTCTACTGTCATAGTTCAGGTGATCTTTTAGACAGCATTTAGGAACCGTGAAAATTAGAGGTGATCATGAAAAAAATACAGCTTAGAGCTGTGACAGAGCCGAGCCAACAGTTGGTTAAGAGTTGCCAAAAAATATCGACCTGAGAATTGAGCATTCGACATCACTCGTTTAACCCTTCCATTACTATGAACACGGAATCTGCATTCGACGTTCCGCTAAATCATCCCCTTCCTCCCTTCCTGCAATAATTCTGCCTTTGCTCAACAACCTTTACTTCGGTGGATTCACATCTCTGACTAACACTTTCTGCCGAGAAGAAACTGAACAACAACTTCAAGACTTCCCAACAGAGTTCCTTTGGATTTGTTCCTGCGAAAACTGATTCTAGTTGTGGGACGTGTGCATGCAGACTCTAGCCTGGTATTGAAAGGTTTAATGTATAGACTTTATTTTGTATTCATCTAGACAAAATATCGATTACAATTAGCTTTGAAAGCGACAGAATCCTAATGGAGATGTTGCATGTGTGAGGGATTTGCGATTCGACCGTTGATTTTTCTGTGAAAGTTCGTGAGAAACACGATGGTGCCACTGGTTTTCTCTGAAATCAACTCCCAAGCTCAAAAAAAGCTCTCAAGTTGAGGCCAAAATTGAGGGGATATCCCTTGCTATCCTGAGAGTCCACCTCTACATCAAGACAATCACTCCATGCAAAGATAGGGAGCAAATACATTGACAGGGCTGCCACTTTATTTGGGGACTCTAAAATTGAAAACACGGCAACACTGCTAATGTATTTGCTCCCTATCTTTGCATGGAGAGTTTGTCTTGATGTAGAGGTGGACTCTCAGGGTAGGGTGGGATATCCCCTCCATTTTGGCCTCAACTTGAGAGCTTTTTTTGAGCTTCGGAGTTGATTTCAGAGAAAACCAGTGGCACCATTGTGTTTCTCGCGAACTTTAACATATGAATCGAGAGTCAAATCGCAAACTCCTAACACATGCAACGTAACGTCTCCATACTTGACTCTATTCTGATCTAATGCATTCTCTGGACTCACAGTCATTTTCTTGATTATGTTCTTCTTAGAAGCATTTACTAAAATTCCTCACTTATTAACACTCGGATGCTGATTGTTTTGCCTGATTCAGACGACAGTCCATAACATCCAGTATTCTAAGTCAATGCAGAGTATTCTTCAAAAAATATTTTCACAGCATCTTACCTTGGCTATTCTATTGAACACTTACAGTCACAGGAGAGCCATAGCTTCGTAGTCTTCGGTTTTGTTGCGGAGCAGTTGCATGAGGTACGGGATTTTCTCGTGTTCCAACAGCGAATCCCACTTGCTAAGAAAAACTGGCACAACTGCAATACCCATCGCTTCCAGCGTGCGTATGTACAGGGCTTTCTGACCACTCATCACTTGTCCATTGAAAGAGCACAGCGACGGTTTGATTGCTAGGACACCAACTCTGAATAGAAATAAACATTTATAAATAGAAGGAGAAATATTTGAAGGGTATCAAGGTCGAAAGGATTCGCTAGAAGACAGACAAATTGTGATCAAATTGACTAGAATCTCTGTTTCTCAAAAAGTTTTGCTCAGCTCCTTCACTCATGCTGCCTTGGATTTCTTTTGGTATAGAAGGCTTTAACAGGGTATCTACCATAATAGGCTGGCCAAAAATTAATACTTTTATAGTGCTTTTTCAGTACAGTCCAAAGAAATTCAGTACCTCCTCAGTAGAAAAATTCAGTACTTTTTCAGTACCTCCATTCGACGAAATTCTAAAAATTTGAATTTCTCGCTAAAAAATGAAACAAATTCTGGACCTCCTTGCGGAATTTCCGCACTTTTTCAGTACTTCTGGACCGCCCTTAAAAAATCGGTACTATTTCCGGACTTGTAGACACCCTCCTTTAAGCGAAAAATTCAACAACTAAAGAATTAGCCCTCTTTCTCTTGCTGGCCCAATGTTGAAACTTTTGTCAGCACAAGACATCAGAAACTTACGGTGTGATCCTACAGTTTTGCACCAACCCTGGAACCCTTAAAGTCCTTGCCCCTTGCCAGGGTGGTTCCTGTAAAATTTTAGGGGTTCCCCAAGTCCTTTCCTTTGACCTGGAAACAACTCATAAAATTTGAAGTCTCTATTTCAATTTGTTCAATAGTTACAGCGATTTTGCCTCCGTAGACATTCTAGTAATAACATCATTGAGAGCATGATGCTCTGTTATAATGGGTATGTGCCAATTACGATTTTATTTAAAATGATGGCATAATCTCTTTCAATACCGCTGGTAGAAACGTATTGATAATTCAACGAGCAAAAACTTACAATAACACAGCTTTATTTAAAAATCGAGTTTTACTTACATTAAGCTTTCAGATGGGACTGAGATATCTTGTAGATAAGTTAATTTATGTTTGCTAGAATTAGAAGGAACTGCTGTAGGGTAACCGCCCTTTCTCATGATTATGACATGATCTGCAAGTTAAGAGAAATTGATTTGATAAAATTAAAAACAAATAGCTTTCTATAGAAATGGACCATTGGATAGGGTACGCAATTGAGGCAATTCTATGTGATATATGGACAAGATCCATCACCACATTACTCTGCCTCACGGTTTCAGCCTTTGAGCAGCAATAATTGGACTACGTTTCGCAATTAGGAACTACAATTTCCTGCTCATCACAAAAAACACTTGTACGCATAGTAAAACTAATGGTGCATACATCATTCTTAAACTGAGCCAGACATCGTAGTTCCAAATTGCAAAATGCAGTCCAATTGGACTAGATTTTGCAACTCGGAACTGTAATTTCTGACATATCTGTAAAAACACTCATGTGCATAGCGAAACCAATGGTACAAACGATGTTTCTAAATTGAGCCAAAAATTGTAGTTCTTAATTGCAAATGTAGTCCAATTATCATTATGTACAAGGAAACGCAAGAAACTGATCTATAACATGTAGTAGCATTGATAATGAGTACAATGACATCAAATTTTTTATTTCAAATTTCAAAATTAAAACTTTCAAAATTCAACTCAAGAGTTAGAAAACAAAGGTTTCTGCCTACAGTATTTCACACTTTCACCAAGTATGGTCAAATCATGATGAACTCTGTAAAATATAGTCTTCCAATGAGCAAAAAATAATTGAGTTGAGGAAATTCAGCTGAAGTTGACTCAAAGACAGCGCTCATCAATACCCCTCCTTTCACACTATCTACTGCATGAACCAAAATTTCACAGGAAATATTGTTGTTTGAAAGAATTATTCTACTTACTCAGTATTGTTTATATTTCGACAGATCATTGCTTCTCTTACAGTATCAATAAAAACCTGATATTCTGCAGTGTTGCTGAAACCAAGTGACAAGTACAGCAGACTGTTTTGAATCTTTGATCAAAACGGTAACTAACATGTACCAACTAGAATAGTAGTTCTCTTACTTTATTTATATATAAATTATTTATTTAATATAATTATAAATTTATTTATAATATTTATTTTAAGGGAAGAGAAGTCGACTTTACAGCTGAAAATTCATACAAAACATTCCTTTGAAGAGAAGTAAAATCAAAGCAGACTTCCAGAAATTGCTCCGACTAGTGTTCCAAAGAAACAACAAAGTATGACAGGAAGTCGTAATAATGCCGTTGACAGAGATACGTGGCTTTGCACTTTGACCATCGTTGAGTACCTCAACGTTACAATGGGTTTCAGTAAGGCTTGACTAAACTTACCGATAAAGTGAAGATGCTGCGTAAGGACATTACTGTGGATGTATTCTTGACCACCCAATCCTTTGGCTAATGCTGGCAGCAGAGGTGGGGAGGGTTCTACACTAGATTGTAAATCAGCAAGCATGGAGGCAGATGCTTTTTCAAAAATGGGTTTTGGGAGGGACCAATCGAGACTGCCAGGATAGAGTAAATGGACGGCTTGATGGAGGTTAATGAGAGTCTGATATGATTTTTTTGTTCTATTATCGGCTGAAAAAAAAAGGAACAAAATTAGTTGACTTGAGATACATTTACAAGTCCTTACCAAACAGCCATGCTGAGAAAAAAGAAATATAAGCTAGGTATACACTTACTCTCTCGACAGCGTACAGAAAAATTAGTTCTGCAATAAAAGGCAGAATTTCTTTAGCCCAACAGTTGCTGCATGTACTAACGTTTTCATAATTTTCAGGGTGTCAACTGGTACCCTATCATTCAAATTCCTTGCTTTTTCAGAACCTTTTCGTTGCTTTTTTCTGACTTTTCCGAAAATTCCTTTCCTGGCGATTCTCAAAAATTATTGCTTTGCTCTTACCTTTTCCTTACCTCACATGCATTTTAACTGCATTCAAATTGGGTGGGTGGAATGATGAAATGACAAAGGAATAAACCGAAAAACTCGAGGAATCAAACTGGGATGTTGATAAATGGATTATGTTGGGAAATCACATACCCCTAAGGCTACTTTCCATGGTTTGTCACAAAATTCTTGTCTTTCTATACCTTTTCACCAAAAGTCCGTAGCGATCTTCCAAAATCTGTGCTTTTATGGTGTATCCGTACTTTTTCCTTAGAGTAGACACCCTGATTTTACTGCCAATATTTAGGATTTAATTGCCTACCTATGCTTCTAATTTGCACGGTTAAGTCCTGGATACTTATAAATCAAGGGCTGAAGTCTAAAATTGCGTTCATCACTTTTAAAGTCTTAGCTTAGGTTTCCTCTATTTAAAGGAGAACAAACTGACACCTTCTATTGAAATTTTCTGAAAAATATCCTCACTTGTTCTATAAAATTTACGAAATTATAAGGGTTTGATTTCCTTGAAGAAAATAAAATATTATTCGAGATTCTTAAACAGTGTAATTGAGATTCACACTTTTCACATTTAGTCATCAAAATTTATCAGAACGCGAAAGCAAGTGGTAAGATTTTCTGACTAAACTAATACATGGTAAGAAGCTGGTGTAATGATGCTTCCCTCAGGAGCAGATGCTTAGAGTTGTAGATGCTTTTCAGAACACAGAAAGAATTTGTTCGTTTGAATTATTCTTCTCTTGAAATTTTCTGCTTCGCAAGTTCACAATTCAAAAAAAAAAAAGAAAAAAATAAAGAAAAAAAAAACAATTAAAACTCCACTTACCTTCTTCTTTTGAACCGAAGATTTTTAGGACATTTTCATCTGCCGCTTTGAGATAAATTTCAGCAGGCCAGCAGTCTAATATCGCAAGATAAAGACAAATTTTTGGCCAATACAAAATGTCATCATTCTGAAATAAAATTAAAATTGGAAGATGCTTAAAGCAGTAAACATTGATATTATAGATCTAACTCATTTTAAAGCAGGCATTTCAAAAATAGCAACTTAAGTGATCAAGAGAAAATATGTCCATGTAAAATTTCCTCCGTGATGAAAAAAGTAAAAGTTGAACTAAAATTTTGAGGCTCAAAAGATTTTTTTGTGTTACTCAAACCAAAGGAGAGTCTGAATTCACAAGCCTCACCATTAGCAAGCCGTTACACCGTGACATAAATTTTGAAAAATTTTGGTGGAAACCACAATACAATATCTTTTTCTGCTTATAAGGTATGCAACTCGAGTTTGGCAACTCAGTATTGCTGCTGTGCTGCTGAAGAGGTTTTTTTTAACGCTTGATTTTGCCAAAAGGTGTAGTTTATACCATGGGATAGCAGAACAAATTCAAGAACATTTGAGCTACAATGAATTTCGTTCTTATTGCATAAGCCTCTCGGTGTCATTAGATAGTTTTTATGACTGTTTAAATTGAAATTGAATAGCATTGATTTTAACAGGGGTGTGATTAAAATGGAAAATAGTAATGTCTTCTGGTTAAAACACATATTTTGAAGTAAACATTGTAACTTCTCATGTAAAGAAGGACAATAAATAGCAAATAAAAAAGGGGACATAATTAGATCTCCGGCAAAATTTGTTGTTTGAAACATCAAATCCATAGTAGAAAGCAAGTAAAGGTGATTTAACAACTTTTCCAGGTTTTCCCTGACCTTTTTCAGCTTTCCCGATATTCCTTGCCTGTGGCATGTTCAAATGGATGGATCCCTTGATTGGCTTGAAAACAGATGGAACTTCCAGAATTTTATGAACTTACCAAGTGTTTCCTAAATTTATCAAGTACCATTGTTTCTATTGCATCCCAACTTTTGGGTTTAAGGTTACTATAGCGGCTAAGGCTATGGATTACTTTCATTTCGGCGCCTAAACCTGTATTCAAAAAAGCCTCAGCATTTTCTTCTATTTTACGGCACATGAAATCTGCCATGGAGGGTGATGAAAAATCCTGTGAATAGAAAAAGAAAAAAAAAAACTTGATAGAATTATAAAGGCATTTGCGAAAATTTGCAGTTCACTTTTTTTTTCCTGAACCATTGGTGAGAAAATATTCAACATAATGAGAATTTCCTTTACAAAATATTTGTTGATTGTCGTCTGGAAATGATTGTGAACGACTGTGTTGTACACAAAATGAAGATTACATTTTTCTTGTGAAAGGCACCCTAAACGACCAAAAAACTAAAAAAAAAAAAAAAAAAAAAAAAAAAAAAATCTAGAGTTTTTTTAGGTTGACAAAAGATGACTCTTGAATAATCTTCAGAATAATACCCATGGCACTATCTAGAAGAAAGTCGGAGAGACACAACCAAAGCAATCACCAGTGACGGCACAAGTTAATTCATCGATAAGAAATTGTCCCGAGACAGCAGTGACAAGTACACTTGTTAATGTAGGTGAATTGGTTAATGGTCTGGGGTCTATTGAAATGAATGTCTGAAGGATTAAAGAAACGTAGAAAAAGAAAATCTTACCACTTTGGTCAACTTAGTGAACAGTGTGATCGCAGTCTGCCAGAGGACTCTGGAAGATACATTTAGCATCTGCTTAATAAATTCGTCGATAAATATCGCATGTCGGTATGCCTCATGCTGCTCTGCTTTTTTGAGTACTCCGCTTAAAAGGCCAATAATCGCCGAAATATCAAACTCATGAGCAGACACAGCTGTAATATCCATGACTCGTAGCAGGAGAATAGCGTGCGCTTTTTGGTGCTCCGGCCATGTGCACAACGATCGCAGAATGGACGCGGCAACTTTCGGTGGTATATCTCTATCATAAGCAGATAAAAGAGAGACCAGAAAATTGAAGCATGACTTTGACACGGATTTGCTTGAAGCATACTGAAGACATTCTCGAAGATATTCTAGATTTGAGCTATCCATCTGCAATAAAAAAAGGATGTCAATCAAACGTCAGAGCTGGAATAGATTTTAAATAAAAAACAAAAGGATGAAAGGGAAATTTGACTTGATTAAGTTGTGTTATATACCTACATTGAGTACTTGAGGCATCTGCTCGTACATGATCATCTAAAATCCTTGGTTTTTCGTTTCATTATCCGTACTTTTTCTGTGCTCCTCATTCCCATTAGCTGAAATCCTTTCTTTTTCATTGCCTTTTCTTCACTTTTTCCTTGCCTGAATCACATTCTGAACACCTATAAGGACATATTCTTATAGAATATGTAGAAGCTTGGATTTGGAAAGTGGAGAGTGGGATATCTGAAGGAAGGATATGAATGAGTCAGTTAAGTCATTTTTTTTAACTGTGTCATTCGAAAGTAGTAAGTGACCAAAGCTTACAGTTTTTTTCCTGGTTGTTTTTGATGATTGCAAACGGGAGAAAAGTTTATTTGAAAGTGCCAAAAAGTAGGGTGGCCTAAAACGACGTTTGAACCGCGCGTGCTTGTAGGTTCTGAATGTACATGTCACAATCAATATGGCGGCGGAACGCGTAGTGGAAGAACACACGGCGGCGTCGCGTTGGCAGTGTGTTTTTGTTGGTTAATTGGAGGTTATGTAGGTTACTTTGCTTGAGATTCATACCCATTGTACTTAATTCTCTAAGCTTTTCAATCAGAATGCTATACAGATTTATGCAGGATATGAAACATTCACACAGAATTTCCTTAACCTCCAACGAAAAATCGTGATGTCGACAACGGCAGCGTGGCGGTAGTAAGCAGGTTGGTTTCGTCGCCGCCATCTTCCCGTCTATGACGCATAGATTCGAAGATTCACAGCGGTCAGTTCAAACATGTTTTTGAGTACCCCTAAGAACGAAGCATTATATCTCCATGGAGACAATTTTTCAAGAAATTTCAAAGTGCGCATCGTTCTTCTTGTACAGAAAACTGTAAGATTCGACTAATAGCAGGCAAATCCCTCCCCAGCTTAACTGACTCATTATGTGGATTCTAACTAAGATTTTGCATGAACATTGTAATATAAATAATGCATACAAATTTCATACTTTTGAGGCTTTTTTTTGAGTTTATCTCCAACTTCTTCACTAGTCCGTGATTCAAAATCCTTGCTTTTTAAGGGTACATGTACATTTTTCATACGTAGGCACCCTGTTATTTTCAAACAGCAGTAAGAACCACGATGGCCTGATGGAGTCACACCTCAGAGTGCTGAAAGAAGGAGGGCAGAGGATTTGACTTGACCAATCACATCACTCCATTTCATCTTAATCATGTCTTGTCCAGCTAAAAAACTCAAAATTTTAACCATCCACCTGCTACACAAATCTTTCAAGTTCAGGGTAATTCTCTCCATAAAATAGTATGATATAAATAAAAAGAACAAGAGAAGTTACTCTTCATACATCATTTTAACAAACAACTGCTTGTTTTGTTTGTAATTTAAAAAAATAGCTTAGAATGAGTTTATTCTCTGAGGGTAGGCTGAAACTTAAAATTTGGAGTGATACTTCAAGTAGTTAAACACTATCACTAGGGGGAATAATGCATGAACCAGAGAAAAATTAAAACTCAGTGAATTTACCTCTCTTTCAACTTTCACTTCGAACACAATGGGCAAGGCGATTTGAAGGGCATCGACCAGCGGACATTTATCTTGATGACTTAGTAAAAAGTCAATGTACACGATTTCCTGAATTGATAGGTGATTCACTTGCTTTGAGATTAGATTCAGGAGCACTTGCATGATGCGCGTGTTTGCAGGAACTCTAAAGTACGACAAACATTTGAGCCAATTGATCTGATCGCTCAGCTCCATCAACCTGAGGTGACTTACACTGGCATTGCACAGATTTTTAAACTCGGTCTGTTGTACAATTTCTTCTTTGGACAAGGATGTTCTGAAACACATAAAATAGAGGTTCAGAGTTTCTTTTTCTTTTTAGAACTTTTCTTTGCTTGATCCCCTAGACTTTTTTCTATTTTTGGACAAGAGGATTTTTGGATGGATCTCATTATTTTATAAGAAATAAAAAGCTGCAATCAGCTAAGCACGATTCTGTGACAGGGCGCAAAGACCCATTTTCCATTCAAATGGCTCTGCAGTCTATGCCAGGGGTGCAGAAACTTCCAAGGGTTCCCTAATTTTAAGTTTTCGCAGAATTTTGCGTGACACATAAAGTAACGCAGTCCATAGTTGGGTTCCCTCAAATCAGCACGGTCAACAGTTTGGTTCCCCCAAAACAGCAGGCTTGACAGTTAGGTTCCCTCAAAGCAGCGCACTCAACAGCCAAGCTCCCTCTAAATCCTAAAAAAAGAGGTTCCCCAATTTTTTCGTCCTGACATAGGTTCCCGTTCCCCCCATTTCACACGAACGGCATGCTAACAGCTGGTCGCGAGGTTGGGAAGCTTCTGCACCCCTGGTCTATGCAACAGATATTATTAAAGCCTGGTATGGATTTGACATTCATCTTTAAATATTAGGTGATAAATAAGACAGCAAAGTGCTGGCACATGATGAAAACAGTAAGAATTCAAGGTTGCCACAGAATTTAGAGATAAATGAATTCCCTTGACACACTTTGATAAATTTCCCTGACATTTGAAGATATGCAAGATACTTAAGAAGACATAACTTAAATAATTTACAAGCAAAATTTGTTATTTCAAGCGTCAAACCTATTCTAGAAAGCATATAGAGGTAACAATTTTTCCTTAACTTTTGAAAACTCTCCGATATTTCCTGGTTTTTTCTGACTGTGGCAGCCATGACTTAAGTCAGAGTGCTGGCATACTATGAAAACAGTAGGATGTGCTGCTCGCTGAGAAACCTCTGCTCCCTCACTTGTATTCCAAGCATCACCTAGAGGTATTTTCTCAAACCAACGGAGGAGGAAAAACCCAAGAACAAGACCCTAATGTGTTCTTTTATAGCCCAAGAAAAAGTCTATCGGGCACTGGTGAGTACTCCATTAAAACTGTAAAATCCGATTTTTCAATGCAATCCGACAAGAATTGCTCTCTTGAAAATTTTGTCTCTGCTGAATGCTTGAAGTCTCTTTTGCGTTGTGGCAGTCACTTCCATATGGACATATTTATGGTAAAAGGAACTTTGTTGCACGCAAACCCTATGCACATAGTTCCTTTTACCATAAATACGTCCATATGAAGTGGTATGTCGACGGTGAAACTACCAAACCACGTATCTCGGTTTGCGACGTCGCAGACTTCCTGTCATACATTATTTTTTAAATGAAAAACTACTTAACATCCGGTATTGAAAATTTCTGTGATTTTTCCTCTTTGTGCGGAGAAAATTCCATGAAAATTTCAAGGAATGATATTGATTTGGTCTACTTCAAAAAAATAAAATGTGAGCGTAGATTTTTAAACACCGCAAACGAGATACGTGGTTTGGTAGTTTCACCGTCGATGTGCGTTATCTCAAATTCTCCGCTGACATTCCTCCGTTATGATTGAAGCAAATGAGAGTTATTTATTGTAACTTTTACTGAACACTCTTAATGATTTTACAATGCTGGAAACGCGAAATTTCAGAAAATTTACTCAATAGTTTTCTCTCTAAATAAAAATTAGCACTCGAGATTCTGAAACATTGCAATTAAGCAATTCACTTTCTGCGCCCACCACCTCATATGTTTAGGCATCAGACCTCCAAATGATACCCAGTTTGAAAAGTGTACATACTTACAAATTATTTTTGTACTTTCGGAAGAGTGCTAGTATTGCGTGGCTTTTATGGGAAGCATTCATTACTGACAAATGACGGCGGACTAGAGAAAGGATATCTTCCACAGAATTTACATGCTCCAAATTTTTAAGAAGTTGGTCATCAGTACTTTTAATTTCTAATGCTAGTTCTGGAAGCAAATAGAAAAAAACACCCAAATATTATTTCTAGGAAGGAAAAAAAAAACCTTATCACAACTGGTGGGTGCATTTTCCCACAAGTAACACAAAGTTAACAAACCTCAAAAATTCATTGAAACTAGACTTTTTCCTCAATTAGGAGCATATCGTGCGTATTAATTCTTGATAATTGTGGTGGGAGGTGCAGACATGCAGTGCCAAAAATTCAGGCGGAACTCATAAAAGAGGTATTAACAGCCATAAATGCTTTCTTTTCTTATTATTTATTACTAAGTGCTTTGAGGCAAGGAGAAAATCAAATTTTGACAACTACTCTGACATTCTAAGGAAGAACACCGTATGGGCCTTAAGATGTTGCCATGTTTCTTTGAATGAAAATTAATTTACCGAAAAAGTAAGAAATATTAATTCTTCAGACAATTTCTCTCCCTTTTAAATCTAAACTAACTGAAAATTTAAAGGAAAAATATGCATGACTTTACTCAAAAATTTATGTCCGCTTTCTTGAGATGTAGTGGTTGTAGAGCTAACCCTATGACCAAGAGGTCCCGGGTTCAACTCTTGGCCGGGTGATCTAAGTTTGATAGCCTTAGGCAATGGTCATATGGAGCTGGGTGAAAGAGGACAGGAGGATTAAGCGTTGGATTAGCTCCAAGAGCTATATGTAAATTTGAAAAAAAAATTTCCGAGAAAGTGGAGAAGTTTGGACGCTCTTGAATGTTCATGAGGGGTTCTCCCTCAGCACGGCAGTGCTGCCTGCAGGCCAATCATTGAAATTGAGAGACAAACCTAAATACAAAGAAGACAAAAGGGGTATAAAGGGATCCTATGGGGGGAAGTGGGGGGTTGAAATGGACAGAGCAGGTAGACAAAAGACTAACTGAAGACAACCCACAATAGACCCTGTATTTAGTCCATCATTTTCTCCCTTGATCTGTAGGAACCACCCACTGCCACCCACTTCAACCGATAGGATTGCTCCTCATTCCCTAAGTATTTTGTGTCCATCAATTTCAATAAGGATCGCTCTTCACTCCCTCAGTATGTCTTCTTTGTCGATCAATTTCAATAATCAGCCTGCTGGACCAGATACAGCTAAGGTCAACGCAAAGAATGAGCTGACCGACTTTGTTACAAAGTTGAAATGGGAATGACCAAACACTTTATTTTTACTATGGCAAATGGACTGCATTTTGAAATTATGAACTAAAATTTCTGGCTGGCACACAGAAGTTTCAACCTCTACAGAGAAACTGATGCCACACGATGCTATTTATGAAATGAATAAAAAGTAGTGATTCCTTAATGCAAACAATAGTCCTCATTAACTAAAAATATGCTCTAAAAGGACCCTGCACATAAAAATAATACCTCTTGATAAAAACATTTTTAAGTTCTGTAAGGTAACTTTCTTACCTTTGCCTCCAGGCGCAAATGGGTCATAGTAATGTCCTTTCCTATCAGAACATGAATTACTAGCAATATGAAAACTTTGCTTTGAAATAGGATTCAAAGTCGTGGAAGGTAAAAGCTTCAGATGTTTAAGATGGTTGCATGTTTTGAAGACAGATGATGCAGTCACAGACCTTATCATCGCGAGATTTGGTGGCATTGTCATGGATTGGAGACTGAAACAGCAACAGAAGTCAATGAAATTGTTAATGCGAGACAAAGCTGAGTTCATGCAAAATAAGTTTACACATTTAAAGACTGCGGCAAAAGATCCGCCATTTTGATTTTTCAATTTATTTTTTACGTTGAACTAATGTTAGAAAATTTTCTATCACGGTCTACTTAAATGTGTGTAATCTCATTGGGCGTAGGCTCTGTGTTGTGAAGAGAAAGTCAGTCACCAGACTCGCTCTGAGATCAAATTAGACATTCCTTGAACTGAAAAGACAAGACTGAGCCAAAATGAACATTTGCAGCTGGCCGATTGCACCACTCATTTGCTCTAATGTTTCGCTAGACCGGATATTCAACTAGCTGCTTATAGCCATGAGGGTGCTTTTAACACATTAGTTATCGGAACAATGGAGGAAACACAACGTCTTGGCTGGGTGTGAGCGCAGTGGCAATTTCTCCGTGTTCGCTAGGAAGGCACTGCTGCCCCTGAGTAATGGGAAATGATTTTTTTTTTTCAGGTACACTAGAGCGGACTCATCATATGTTGAGACAAAAGTCGAGCATTGTTTAGATCACCACTCATCAGTGGTGCCATCTGACAGCATGTATTAACCTGTTGAGTGGTGCTGATTCGGAGGTAATCAGAGATTGACATTTGTCTCAACATACGATGAGTCCGCAATAATAATCTTTCAAAAAGTATACTGACAGCAATATGAAAATTGTTTCACAATATGTATGGTAGCAGGAAGCGAAGCCAAGCGGTGAGGATCATCTAGCGCCAGTGTGCAAATGTGACAACACCGCTTTTATGTAGAAGTCACTGCAGCGTGCGGGCTAGCCATCTCTGGCTCGCGGAGCTACAGGAAGCATTGCTGGGTGTTTATAGTCGTGTATCAGGCTACAGTAACAACAGTGCTGGTACGCTGCATCTCCAGTAGCATACACCTGGAGCTGGGGCCACTTAGGCGCATATTCCGTCTTTACTTCTCTCATCCCCTTCCTTCTTTGCCCTTGCAGTAGTATCTTCTCCATTGCTTTCTTCATTTCTTAGTAAAATTCTAGGAGCTAATTACTTATGCTGATCACTTGGCTACTAATATACGGATAAATCTATGGAGCACAAGATAAAAGGTGCGTTGTCGAAGTAAACTTTCCGTTCGCGTTCGGCTGCTCAACGCTAATGGACATCACGTGACCGCTGACTTACCCGTTGGGGAAAGCATCTCTGTTGGCCACTGTTGACTAAAAACTGTTGTGTTTTAAGTGTAACACCGCGTGCACAATTACATTCAGAGGTTTGCTCAACGCTCTCAACTACCTCCTGAGACCGATGACTTGTTGACTTCCGTTTGGTAAACAGTCCAGGACATCAAGCATTCCAAACGGAGTCGAACAATGCCGAGCGTTTGGAATCGGGTAATTCCGTTGCCCAACGGTCCCTAACAGTTTACTTCGACAACGCAGCTAAAACTCACTGAAAATGGAATAAAAATAAGTGTTGGATCAGACTTCCCCCTCCCGCTGTTGCACCAATTCAGCTTCCCTCAATTTTTTGGACAGGAATCGCTACTGTTCAAGGTACACTCTACTACAGGTATGGACAAATGGAATTTTAGAAAGTCTTCAAAACGCGTAGATTTGACAGAATCGAGAGTACAACTGCGAAAACCTGCGCGGCATATGGACGGTACGACTTCATACGTCACTCAATCGCCTGTTTTCTCAGCGCTGCCACTTCGGCACCCCGTTTGTCCATACCTGTAGTAGAGTGTACCTTGCTACTGTTTGAGAATCACTTCAAGGCCTCAAAGTCACATGTTCACATGAAGCGCAGTGATGCAAGAAAGATTGAAGACATTAAGACCCTTGCAAATCATGACTCCGCTGAAGACCTTAGCCGCATTTGTGAACATTATAGCGAGAAAGAAGAGATTAATTACCTGGAGCAGAGGAAATACTTCTGTAAATTCGGGTAACCTAAGTTTCTTCACATCCTACCGAGGGAGAGAGGAATGATCAGAGGCAAGATGAACTTGATTGCAACGCATGAGAAGTAACCAAAGACATAAAGACGGAGGGCTAAAAGCAAAAAATGAAGCTTCTTTTCAACCACCTCTACTATTGGCTNCCAGAAATACTTACAATGATAAGTGACTAATGACTATACAATACCTTGTAGCGTTAGAGTGCAGCGTAAACTCAAACCCCCTAACTCCGCAGTTGGGTTTGTTTACAATCGTGACGTCAAGAGGGTACGAGATGCGACCACCATTCTTTATCCGCCTTGGGTTAGATCATCACAATCGACCAATCGACTAATACATGAAGTGAATGATTGTTGTGAGCCTTCGTAACAGTGTGTTTCAACGGTACTTAGGGCTCATACAGAAACTTGAGATAAGCTCATTATGATTTTTGCTGACCTTCAAAATCCGGAGTTCACCAAACCGCTAATTGCATCGGCGGTACTCACCGTTCACCATTTTTGAAATTTTAATGATTTTAACCTCAAATTTAGAACACAGTTGAAAACAAATTTTTAGCCCAACATTCGAAATGGCTGGAACTTTGTGTGCTAGATTAAATAAGCTTTCATCTTTTTCTGGAATTACAGTCCCTGCACGCAAGGTAAAGCCATCCTATTTTCCATACTCCAAGTTTTTAAAAAATTACAGCCCAGGGCTTCTGACATTAAGTTGATTTCGAATGCTCTTTTAACCTTTAGTAATTTTCCTGATTGTGAGCTTTCAACTTTGAACAGAAAGCTAGTGTTCATTAAGGCCAAAGTTTTCTAATGTTGGAACAAGCGACCATCCTCCTTCATCATCTCAGTTATGTCCCAATCAGATCGCTAATTGTCTAATTTTGAGATTCCGATAACATGGAAGGATTTTACCTACTGTGACCAATTTTAACCTTCGGTTTTTTTTTATGTGCAATAAAATGGCATCATTTCTCTATTCTCCTTAATTATCATTCTTACAACTAAATATAGTTTAGTAATGGGACTACTATCATGATTCCCTGTAGACTACCCGTGAGGTGTCACTGCGCCAAATGCCACTCTTGCGGTGTCATCCATCATTATCCCTTTCCCTCTCACGTCTCCCATTCCCCCTACTCTTCCACCAGATTTTATTCTAAGTACTTTATGCACTTTTTGTTTAAATGAATAGATTCCGATCAGTAGCCTGATTGCTGATACTATAACTGGCTATGTAGGCAAGATAAGACAAGACTTTGCCCTATCTGCATTGCGTAATATATCGATTTTCCATTCTTGCCGTGCCGACACAAATTTCAACACTCAGGCTGCAGGTTGCAATTTTTCACTCCTTGGATTGATCAAGCACAAATTCACCTGTAGAAACTGGACAAATACCATGCATACGAAACGAAATGAACTAAGATTTACTTGTCTAGGCACTGAACCTAACCGAATCAGTGGAAATGTAACTTTAAGGCGCTAACAGAATCAAAGGTTGGCAATGGAACAAAAAATCGCAATCTCACAAAAAGACACTCATGAAACGAAAATATGCTTTTACATGTGTAAAATTGCCACTTTCAAATTCACGTCATCGCACTTTGAGCTATATTTCGACTCACGTCTCTGCAAGGAACATCAAGTCGGCAGGTATTGAAGAAATCCAAACCCAAATAACACGAGTATGGCCTTTCTTACAAAAGGGCAGAAAGTAGAAAACTACCTAATTAGTGGTGAATAAGTGTTTAAAGTTTTAATTGATGAATCACTATCCTGTTCAAAATAAAATTCTAATAGGATAAAATGCTTAATTTTATCCTATGTCATGAAACTGACATCCTGCAGCAAAGATCATAGATTGCGAGAAGTTGCCTGTTTCATGGACTTTTCTCCTGAGCGAATCAAATTATTCTGTTTATTATACTACATCTTTACAAGCTCTGGTCCAAAGCTGGGTTTTTTAATCAACTTTTTTCTTTCTTTTCAGGTTGCTGCTTTATCTGCTTATGATGTTCAGCACAAACACCCTTTTGCCAAGAAAGTGGTGAGTCATCCATTTTTTATCGTTTTGTTGTGTTACTTGCGCTGTAATAGAATTTTTCCATTACTGGAAGGAAGTCTGTAAGTTAATCTGCTGATTTCTCAATTTCAACTTATAAATTGCTACAAGTTGCTACTGAGTATGAACCGTTATAGTAATCCTATGAGTTTCTGGCCTTCCCATTTTTCAAACTGGCATTCCATCTAAAAATCCCCTTTCCCCCTCCAAAAAAAAACTTCAAAATGATGTCCTTTTTACGGCTCTGTAAGTATGTGTAAATTGCCGTGATTTTGTAAAAAAAACAGGTGATTTTTACAGCAAAGACCAATTGAATTTGGGGAAAGCTTGGAACCTTCTGCACTCCTGAAAAGTCCGTACCTAGGTAGTGCTGAGAAAATGGAACATAGGAAAATGAAAAAAATTCATAGTAAGAATATCAAAGTATGGCCAACAATTTGAGGAATATATAGTTGAAAGTTTTAATACTTGCGGTGACTTACCAATTTAATTCATGTCTCACGAAATGTATGTTCCACACTTTTTACATCGGTTCTCTCCTCTAGGTTTGTTTCATCAAGTGTTTCCTGTCGAGAAGTTGTTTTTGTCAGTTGTGTAATGAGCAAAATTTTATCCTCTTTAAAAGATATCCAGGAAGAAATGTGTTATAATAAAGTGTGATTCAATTTTCATTTTCAGCAAACATTCAATTTTTCTCCGATCGCAAAATTTCATTCGGTCAGTTATCAAATTTACCTTTAAAGGTCTTGCGTAATGAATTTCTGTAGACTAGAGCCACAATTGTAGAATATTTCTCTATCTGGACTTTTCCCTATGTCAGGAGGTATTGATGTTAATCGGTAATATAAATGAGAAAGAGTAAATGAAAAAAAATAATGACGCATCTCATTCAGATTCAAACCCACTAAAGTAATTGCTCAAAGAGAATTATAACCCTTGCTTTATGGCTACCCTTCTTCAAAACAATCAATCTTTAAAACAGTAAAACTACAAATGTTAAACACTTTGAAAGTTTGGTTCATAAATCATGAAAAATAGTTGAGAAAGAAGCCCTGAAATTCAGCGAAGAATAGGAAAAAACCGACAAACTAGTAGCACACACATCAGAAACTAAACAATCTAGAGAATTATTATGTGATCCTTCCTCTGTATAGTTTAACAGCAAAGCTTGGAGCAAGGGTCAATAGGCAAGAACACGTATAATAGGTATCATATTTTCCTTTGAAAAATCTGTCAAAAAAAGTAATCTCTCTGAGGAAAAATTGTGCTCATATGAGCATTTTCCCTACCGCAATTAAATCGTATAAAAATTAAGGTTTAGTAGTCTATTTAATATTACATTTTTGAGTATTCATTATCTCTTAATTTTTAGTTTTTTTACGATTGCATTATTTTCAATTAATTATCATTTGAACCATATTGTAGGTTTATAGTAGTAGTTAAGGTGAGCTAAGTTATTTGGAGAGAGAACGTACCTGCTTTTTTTATTATTATTGTTATTACTTACTTTTCTACATTCAAAGATGCTCCTCTAAATGTTTCAATACATTCAGTGCCGTCTGACAAACAGTTGATTTTAGTAATGGTTGCTGTAGATGACTTTTAGTAGATTAGACCCATTCTTTTAGATCAGAAAAAATGGTTTGTTATTTGGAATATCATATTTTTGTCACCTAGAATCAAGGTTGTTGTTGGTAGCTAGTAATGCATAGCAAGTGCAATAGGAATTTTACTTGCGTCAACTTTCTCAGAATTATGAAAGCAGCCCATGAGGTTGTACCTTCTTTTCAAATTCATGAAATTACCTAATTTTCCCCTTTTTGGTTTGAAAATAAAAGGAGAGAAGTGAGAAAAGAATTATAAACCTTCAGAAGGTTTCCAAGCACAAAATACTGACCAAAACTGAAAATACTATATCACTCAATGGAGCAATTTTATTTATTTAGTTCAAACTTTTTCGTTTTTTTCTTTTCTTTTGTTTCCTCTCTTAAAATAATTTCATGTTTTCAAAGTGGATTGACATCACTGTTCAATGAGACAAAGTAAAAGCATAGCAGTAATTAAACACGGGTTGTGCGGCCTTGAAAAGTGCCTAACAAGTACAACTCGAAAGGATAAAATTCTTAGGGGTGAAAATTCTGCCAGACTAAGAAATTCCTCACTATTACTTGGTTTCTATGTTGGCAAGCTATTTAGTTCTCATCAATGTGCCTAAAAATCCCCTTTTCTTTTCTGAAAATGTGAAGTATCGTAGGCATCATGCTAATTTTTCTTCCAATTATTTCAGACCCCAATTCCAAAAGCCAAATATGGAGGTCGCCATGCTGTAACCATGTTACCTGGTGGTGGTATTGGACCAGAACTAATGGGATATGTGAAGGAAGTTTTCAGGTACTTATGCATTGCGTTCTTTTGTCCCACATTGATGAAAGAGGTTCACTAACAAACAGCTTCACTAGAGGTTCACTACTATGCCTGGATGCTTGGATACTTGGATGTTAGGTACATTTCAGTGGTTACGTGTTAACAACTGGGGTTAGGTCGCCACTCAATTTTTTATTTATTTTTTGGTGCTTTTTGCAGCTGAAAATGAGCTGGTAACAGCTCAAAACGTTCTGGCTTTTAGTGTTTTTAATGTCTTAGCCTTGTTTACCCATGTTTTAATTCTCTCCTTATTTATTGGTTCACTAACATTATTTTTTTATTTATTTATCTATTTATTTATTTATTTATTTACATTAGTATGTACGTATAAATGCCACATGGTGTGGCTCAACAATACTTGTTAAAAAAAGAAAACTCTCTTACATTTACACATTAACATACATTACAAAGCATAAGAAAACATTGGAGAATTTACAAATTAAAAGGCACAGAAAATTACAGTTTAACTCTCATCAAAAAAATCATTTAATGAGTAGCAAGCCTTGCCAACCACCTAGTAAGGCTTTTAGCTCAATCATAAAAGCACTCACTTCCCAGTTTTGAAGAACTTTTCTCAGGTTCAAGGGAAGGTTGTTGAACAACCTGATGGCAGTATGAGAGACAGACTGTTCAGCAACCCTCAGACGAACAATTTCATAATTAATGAAAGGGTTTCTTATGTTCTCAAGGTGACTTAATGGACGCCATATTTTGTGTCAGAACGGCATGTGATATATCGCATCAATTGGTTCCATTTTTTCAGCTACTCGTAATTTTTCTCGAATTTTGAGATCGCAATTCTGTTGTCAGGCGACTAAAGCACTCGCTTACCAATTTTAACAAAGAAATTCAACGCAATAAAGGCCTGATTTTTTTAGAGAGAAAACATCGCATTCGAGTGCAGTTCCGATATCAGTATCGAATGCGATGTTTTCTCTCTAAAAAAACCACGCCTTTGTCACGCTAAATTTCTTTGCTAAAATTGGTAAGTGAGTGCTTTAGTCTCCTGACAACAGAATTGCGATCTCAAAATTGGAGGAAAATGACGAGTAGCTGAAAAAATGGAACCAATTGATGCGATGTATCGCATGCCGCTCAGACACAAAATATGGCGTCCATGGAATCACCTTAATCATATCCTTATTAATCAAACCGGTGTCAATGACAAATTTTAGGCTGTCTAGAATAAAAATAGACGGAAGAGTTAAAAGTTGGTACTGCATGAATGAGGGTTTACAGTGGGAATTGAATGGTTTACTAAATATCAGTCTGACATTTTTTCTGTTCAACAAATAATTGCCCTGAGCAATGGTTGAGACCCCACAAAACTAGGCCATATCTTAGATGTGAGATTATGTTAGCATGATAGTACATCAAACACGATTGCAGAGATAAAACTCTAGACGTGTTTCCAAGTGCCCATTTCATAGAGTTAATTTTTGAAGTGACTTTCAGTACATGTGGTGAACAATTTAAGGTTTCATCAATTATAATACCCAATGAGTTAACCTGGGTAAGCGCTTCTGAGTTTCTGCTCCCATATTTGTTTGTTAAATCTTTCAATTATCAACCTTTCAACATTAAGATGGTGAGAAGTTGCAGTAACATGACAGAAGTCTGTCATTTTAAGTGCGTCCAGTAACGTCAGGTCAAATTCAGTTTTTCATCAATTTTCTCAGGTTGTCATTAGAATTTGTGTCTCCCAATTTCGTCCATACTATTTTTTTGTTAAATCTTTCAATTAATCTTTTAATTTATTTTTGTGTTCGGTTAGTTCAGTATGCTGCCTTCTGGAAGTGCTCCATTTTTGCAAGAACATAATGGGGGACAATATTCAAAGGCAAACGTGAGGCGTTTTGCTCAGTTTCACAAGCATTATGTATCAACTGTCAAGAAACAACAAAAAATGCTAAAAAACATCCTTTATTTGTTTTTCTGCCTCATCCCTGCGTTATTTCATTCTCTTTTCTGTGCTCTCTGTTATAGTGTAGGGTTGCTGTAGATAGCATGTTTTAATATAGAATACAACTCGGGTTAGGATTTTGTATCCTACCAAATTCACCTAGATTCACCTACATTCTTTTACTTTGTTTTTAGGTATGGAGGAGTCCCAGTTGACTTTGAGACTGTTCAAATTGATCCAAAAAGTGATAGTAATGAAGATTTAGAGTATGCGATCACTTCCATTCGAAGGAATGGAGTGGCCATTAAAGGTCAGTGTGAATTTTTTGAATCTTGACTAACTGCACACCAATATTGGATGGAAATAGACATGAATGCGGTACTGTTAGCTGCCCTCTTTTACTAAAAACGGTAGATTTTTTCTCACTCCTTCAGATGCCACGGAAGGGGTAGTTCTATTCAATTAGTGCTCCATCCTCCCATAGTCCCTACTCAACAACTAACCCCAGGTAGCCATTATTGGAGATCACCAAACTCAGGTTGCCCTGCCGGGAATAGAACCTCATATCTCTTGATCATAGAGCCAGTGCCACAACCATCACACCACTGGAAGAGACCACAGGAGATAGCTAACCTTCAAAATCCAACCAAACATGTAACCAAGATCCTGCATTACTAACCCAAAAATTGTAATTGGGTGCGGCAGGAATCAGGTCTAGAGGTCAACGTTACTTTTCGCATGAGCAACTTGTGGAGCAAAACAAACGCCAAATGATGATTGATGAATGTCAGTGTGAGCTTTTTACCAGGTGTGCTTTTGTAAATTAAGTAAAGATTGCTAAACCCATTGCTCAACTCTTAAGGTCATCAATCATCATCAGGCAAATCCGAGCATTGACTGCCGAAAGTATCTTTTACAGCTTAGAGAAGGTAGCAGTGCAGGGTCTTTTAAATTACATTGTCTCTGAGAGTAACCATCAAAAAGTGTTGCCAAGCAGCCTCTTTATAACATTGCAGCTCTAGTTTTTTTTTCTTTTGGCTTTAATAAAATATTAGAAATTCTCCTATCAAGATTATTGAACTTCATTACAAGTTACAATTCTGACATGCTTTTGTTCAGGAAACCTCTCTCTCTCTCCCCCTCCCCCCCCACTTTCTCTCTATTTCTCTCCTGATTTTAATTTTTGTAATCATAAATATTTTGTTTTTAGGTAATATTGAAACAAAAAGTCTTGACACAGATGTCATCTCCCGAAACGTCGCTTTACGTAATGAGTTGGATCTGTTCGTCAATGTTGTCCACTGCCAAAGTTGCCCTGGCATCAAAGCGCGGCAAAAGGATATTGATATCATAATCATCCGTCAAAACACTGAGGGTGAATATGCCATGTTGGAGCATGAGGTTCGTAACTATAGTCATAGTGACTATCCAGTCTTCCTTAGATTAAATTTTACATCTAACATCATACACATCTGAATTGCTAAAATGTATACAAATATAAACCATCAAATTAAAAACTAACTTAATAGAGACTGTTAAACGATTTACCAGTATACTGGTATGACACTCAAGGAGCACAAGTTGACGACTGAAGGCAACATAACAATCTGTCAAAAGATAACTGATCAAGCTCCTTTAGCCCTGGATAGACGATCAAATTCTGAACCAATTCCGATCAAAATAGACATGCTGATGACTGGTGGTCACCATCTACCATCAAATTTTGACGGGCCGCACTTTTTTGTTCAAAGTAAGATCAGAACGGAGTGCAACCATTCATCATTTCCTGCCACAGGAAACATTTCTGCCAAGTTTTCATTTATGAATGAAGCAAATTAATGAGTTTGAGACTGATGACTCCCGACGCTTTGATGCTACTTTGATTGGAATTGGTTCGGGAATTTGATCGTTTATGCAGGGCTTTTGACAGAGAGTCACACTGCTGTTGGTGACCGGCTTCTGTGGTGGTTCTGGAAGCTGTTAATTTTGAAAATTTTGTTTTGTATTATGTTTTTCAATAGAAAACTTCAAAGGATTGCACATTAATTTTTAGCATATCAACAGCAAAACTGAAAAATTGTGTATCTTCATTGTGATGTTTCAACATTTCTACTCTTGTTTTATTTTTTTAAACGAGACAGAATCAACGTCACCAAAAGGAAAATCACCAAAGTTTTTAAGAAATGACTTTGAGTAGTTTTGCATGAGGCAAATATTGTATGACAAGAAGTCTGCAATGCTGCAAACGGCTGTTTGAATTTCTGCGGTTTTATCATCAATATCCAGGATTCTTTGACATCATATGTGGATAATATTGATGCAGAATTTGAAGCATGTATTTGTAATGATCAGGTAATTTCTTGAGAAATTTTAGAAGGCCAATAAATCAACCCATCCCAATGCAACTTAATATTCTGACAGATCAAGTAATGATCTTTGCATGAAGTGACAAAAGACTACCACCTGAAACTCAATGCAGCTTCATCCCTGGCATAGGACGTCAAGTTTACGCTCTCTTTTAGTGTCACAGTAGAATGATGTATCATTGATGTTTCTATGAAGATCGTAACTTTTTTAGTGCTTAATAGTCCCACAGTTTCCATTTTTTCATTATATTTGCTTTTCAGAGTGTTCACGGAGTTGTTGAGTCCATGAAGGTTGTGACAGAAGAAAATTCAGAAAGACTGGCGCGGTATGCTTTCGACTATTGTAGACTCCATGGCAGAAAGAAAGTCACCACTGTCCACAAAGCCAATATCATGTAAGTTAGCCTCGTAAGCTTTTATCTATGAGCAAATTTTTCCAATCTTTTTGTTCATCTGCTAAATCGCAGCTCTCGGTAATGTTTTAGTCATCATTGTTGAAAACTGAAATGTGAAAAATGTATTATTTCTTTTCCCTTTTGTCGCGCCGAAACTAAGAAGAAGGATTCAAAAATCAGAAAGGGGATCTTGAAATTGAAATAGCTAGAAGTATATGTATTAGTGTAAAATACATGACAAAATTTGAACCTGGTTACAGGACATTTCTTCAACGATTTTTTGTCCGCCCATCTGTTTTATCCAGTAGTTTACGTCCCCGCGTTTTTTTGGCAAGGGAGTTTTCGTCCACTAACTAATTGAGATCCAAAGTTAATTGGTCCACATATAAATACAAACAACTTGTTCACAACGTTTTTGGATGAAAATGTATAACGTTTTGGAAGAATGAGGGTTTGCTTTTTTTTTTTTTTTTTTTTTTTTTGGTTTTGTTTGGTTCAATAAAGAGAAATATATACCTAATTGAGATTTTTGGTAAAAATGAGGGAACGCCAATTCCATGAGGGAAAATTCACTAAAACTCTCCACACCTCTTTGGTACAACAGGACTAAATTATCTTTCAAGAAAATCCCAATTTGTTGTACCTGAACTGGATAAACCTTTTGATTTGCCTTAGCTAAGGGCTCTTAGATTTTTCCTGTGTGCTATAACTTCGCGGCAGCGCCAGCACGCCGCGGCGCCTCGGGCTACTACTTCGCCGTGGAGGTGTTACACAGTATCATACGAGATAGAAGGCACCCCAACGTATTATGATTGATGGCATCTTTCAAAAGCACGGATTTCCCTCGCAAATGAAATCGAATGACGACTACAAAAAGACAGCAGTAGTTGAAAAAACTTACTAAGTCCTAGTACCTGTATTCTATAACATTTAGCATGATTTTTTAACTTTATTAGAGAAAAAAGTGACTTGACTCAAACAGAAATATGCTCAAATTTACCGCAGAGATTTCCTTTTGAATTAGTAAAGAAAAGAATGCTTGTTCAAAGAAGTAAAGATACTTTTGTAAAAAGAAAAGTTACTTACATCAAGCAAAAACTCACTTTTCAGAGATTTTATTGGTTCAAAATAAGATCTTTGTGATGGCATACTCAAGAACGTTTCTTCCTAGATCAATTCACTTTTTTCTCTAATGAAATCCAAAAATCATGCTTAAAGTTATTAAATACGGATGCTAGGCCTTGGTGAGTTTTTGGACAACCTCTCTTTTTGTGCCATAGTATCCTGATTTATTTTGCGAGGAAAGCTCTGTACTCTTGAAGTATGGCTATCATATTTAATATGTTGGAGCGCATTCAATTTTTTATGATACTGTGCAACCCCTCTGTTGCGAAATAGTTGCTCGAAGCGCCGCGGTGCGGCGCGTCGGGTGAGGGCGACCAGCGCGACACGCGCATTAGTGCTTACAAACCTAACAGGGATACTTCACGCATTGCGCAATGCATGAAGTATCCCTGTTAGGTTTGTAGGCGCTAACGCGCGCTTTGCGCTGGCAGCACGCTGCTCCGCTGTGTTTGGCTCTAATATTTAAACTCGCGGAGTCAGCGTTTTTCAACTCATGATTTTGAAATATTAGCACACTCTGCATTGATTATTCTCATCGAAATTGATGAAAAATAAATATGTATTTAAGAGAAACCCAATGTGTGTTTTGTGAATATTTACAAGGTCTCATGTCAAATTATTTGATGTCCACAGCACTTTTATTTTTACTTTTATATTTTGTGCTTTTACTGCGCTGCAGCATGGTGTACGTGCAACCAAACGCTCAAAATTAGACGTTTTTGACTCTAAAAGATTGATGTACAAATGGGTTCAAAGCAAAGATTGCAAGCCTCTTGGTTTTTTTCCCTCTTATATTAATTTTTGTAAAGTTCCTTTCAACATAACTACGGCTCATTGAGATTGATATCGATGCTATCGCTTGGAAAAAGTTTTAAAAAGTTTTAAAAATATTTGCCACGTTTGACAATTGTAAATGTTTTTAAAATTAAGTATCATTCTCATTTTAAAAAAAAAGGTAAGGTATTTTTTATATAGAAAATTTTAAGGATAGAAATAAAACCAACTATTCACCAATAACAATTTGAAAAGTTGAGCCTCGAGGCGTACAGATTGATTAGTGATTTTAATGATTCAATGCAGAATTCAGTGCAGTTTTAATGATTCAATTGTGAACAGGCTACATACCAGGTAATTCTTGCATTTGAACTTTCTCAAGATCAATGAGATATTAATTGATTTAAGACTTGTTAATTACAAAATTATTATGAATTAACACAATTCACTCACACATAACTTAGACATGAGGTTATATTTGTTTAATCTGATTCAAACCGGCCTCACATCGAAAGTAATAGATAGAAAATCAAGCTGTATTGTGTCACGGTTTAATAACGTATTGGTCAAAAACTTTAATCAAGAAAAATGGTAGTAAAAAAGCCGCTGAAACCAAATGGTCAAAAAACCTTTTGGGCTACTTAATCGATTCTTTGCAAGCTTGAACATAATTCCAAATTAGTCAGTATTTACTTGTATTTCAGCTGAAGTCTCTGGAAAAACCCTCCATAGAACTCATGCAATAAGTATTTTATTTTCCATTCTTGTATCATTTGTAATTTTTAGCATTTACTGTTTTTTAGGAAACTGTCAGATGGACTGTTCTTAGAAGTCTCAAAGAGGATAGCAAAAGAGTACCCAGACATCCAGCATGACGCCATGATTATTGACAACACATGCATGCAGCTCGTGGCAAACCCACATCAATTCGACGTCATGCTCACAACCAACCTCTACGGCTCCATCGTCTCCAACGTCATTTGTGGTCTTCTTGGAGGTGCTGGTCTGCTCTCTGGCCGAAACTACGGTGACCACGTCAGTATCTCTCGAAGTTTCTCGTGTTTTTTCAAAACTTTTTGCTGTTCTCGAATGTCAGTCATGCCTCAATCACACGCTGAATAAAGCAGCTGAATGTGGGAGTCAACAGTCATTGCCCAACGGCTGAAATTTAGCAAATTCGAGTTATTTTCATCCAGATGTGTATCAAATCTACTCAATTCACACAAATTCAACATTAGTCCGATGGTTGCTGAGAATCGTTGCTGAATTTTGCGCGTCACGCGCAAAATTCAGGCATCGGGCTGATGACTTCCACATTCAAGCCACATTCAGCAAGTAATTGCGGCGGCAATCTTACAGTATCTGTCTTTGAATGATTATAGTTTTTTTTCTCCATTGAAGCATCCTTTTGTATTAATCGTGACATCATCATTGTAAACTGTTGGATGCGTGACTAGAAAATTTTTGGGATTCCCAGTGACTTGAAAACGCAGGGACTTCATTATGGTCGGAAAGTCTATGGAAAACATTAGAACCGTTGGGCTTCTCATAGTAATGACCCGAAAAATTTTAGTCTTCGTTCACTGAAAATGAGTAAGTTCTGTAATTTCTCTTGTGGTGGGACCTCAGGAAGAATCCAGAGAAATCAGAGCAAATTTGTGTCAACACTTTCCAATATTTTTCGAACATCCATTCTTCCGTTTTACAAAAAGCTTATTTTTTGGTTTCAAATTCCTCCTCACACCCTATCATTCAGGTCATCTCCATTCCTTTTTATTACTAGACTTGCAACTGATAGCTACATAGATTATAGCCAGCCAATCACCTACAGACTTGTTGTCTCGCCACCTGTGATGTCAGCAAGTCTATATAAGCGTGCGCTGCCTCAAAATTGAGGTCTTTCTACCATCTTAGACCCGTGTGTCTACACGTTACGCCTTTTCTACCCTTCAGGTAAATGTTATTCAAATGTCATCTAGTGGAAGTGCATCGTAGTGTGGACATTTTTTTTTTTTTTTTTTTGGGAGTTTTGTGGCTTCTATTCCTTTGTTCAAATTTTAGGAATCTACAGCCATCTATAGACACATAGGGTTAGTGTGGAAATTTGACGAAATTTCTAATTCAATTCCATTTTTGTGTATCATTTCTGTCGAATTCCGGATAGTACAGTGATAAACTTTATCTCAAAATTTTTTCTCTTTGGTTTTCACTCCATTTCTCGTAGTTTGTTGATCCTACATTAACAAAGATCAGCTGGTGCTGAACGGTTTTTTTTTCAACTAACTCTTAGTCCAAACATGGTGTAGAACCCGTGTTTGACTCTTAATAAGTCACATGTCGCTAAAACCCCTTAATACGTCACATGGTGCCGCTTGACTCTTAATACATTATAATTTGGAAGTTTGATATCAATATAAATTAAGAGCGCACACTATTTTTTAAAAATTATTAATGTTATATTTTTAAAAGAAAAAAAAAGAATGCAGAAGAGCTAGCCAGTTTTTCTAATAATGTTTAAAAATTGTTGACAGTTGCGTAGATACCGAGGTCAGCCTCAGAAAATATCTAAGCTAATAACTAGCTATTTTTTGTGAGAGTGTGGGGGGGGGGGGTCCCACTTTTTGCTGTCTAAATAATTGAATCAAATATGAACCTTCAAACCAAGGTTGTGCGTCGGAAAAATACTCTACCAGAAATTCCCTTACATTGTGTGCTGTTCTGCCTGCCCCCAGTGTAGCTCAGCGACAGTATTCTGTTAGGTATTTCATTGTCAATGGGGACTAACATTTTAGTGCAGAGAAACAGATAGTTGAATAGGAATACCTCTACTTGACTTAGGAAAGTTTATTAAAGTAATATCGGCACGATAACTGCCAAAAAATTTCAAACGAAATCAGTCGCATACTAGTTTAAAGTTAGCAGTTCGAAAAACCAAATTTTGTGAAAAGACCAATTAAGTTTCAATAACTCAAGTCGGAGAAATGCTACAAAAAACACAATTAAATGAAAAACGGGGATGTTTCAAATATTTCACAGCTTCATTTTCAACCGAATCAAAATTAAAACAAAGATAATATTATTTTCTTTTTCCTTTTTTAATTTTCCCTGGCTGGTTAAAAATGAAGCTGTCTAATATTTCAAACTGTCCCAGATGTTCACTTAATCTTCGTTTCTTGCAGCTTTTCCCTGATTAATTAATTATTATTTTTTTTTTACTGTGTCTTTTGGCTGATTAAGGTGCCCATTATTTGTAAGTTTTAATCTACTATGTTCTGAATTCAAAATTATATGATTAGGTTGCAACTCAGTGTCACAAAAAAAAGTAGACTGCATTGACTCTTCATTACGTGGCTGGATTCTGCATATGCATACCTCGTAACTAAAATTCGTTTTTCATGCAAAAAAATCAGAGCGCATTTCATCAAGAAGAGTCTAATGTTGTACTTCAGGTCCTCTTCGACAGATAGAGCTACAAATGCGAATACTACTGATTGAAGGTTGCTGGGCAACGGCAAAAATGCTGCAGGAGGCATACGATTTTGCTGAAGAAACTTTTGTAGGGGACAGGCACAAGAAAAATTTTATAAAAATGATAAAATTCGCGAACTCACTTGCGCTATGTTAATTCAGTTGGGACGCGTTTCGGGGTCAAGATGGCCCCATCATCAGCCGGCAGCAAACTCATGTTTGTGAACTCGTGTAAGCTGCCGGCTGATGATGGGGCCATCTTGACCCCGAAACGCATCCCAACTGAATTAACATAGGGCAAGTGAGTTCGCGATTTTCATCATTTTCTATACAATTTTGCTTAACTCAGACGCTGTGTTTGTGGTAATGGAAGAGTTAAAAATGTTAAATTAAAAAACGAAAATGCACAATCGGTAATTTTCTCTTTCGACCTCTTTTCCAGTTTAATCTGTGTTTTATGCAAGTCATCAAATATTGATACATCATCGGTGAATCACTGAAATATCTGTTTCCTTTGTTTGCAGTATGCTGTTTTTGAGCCAGGAACCCGTAACACTGGTACTGCAATCGCAGGGAAGAACATCGCTAATCCTATTGCCATGTTAAACGCGTCAGTAGATATGTTGGAGCACTTAGGTCACGACTCACATGCCGAAGTTATAAGAACTGCAATTAACAAAACCATTAGCGAAGATCATATTCACACACCTGGTAAAACTGTGTTCCACACTATTTAACTACATTAACACTATTTATTTATTTTCACTCTACGGTCCTTTATGACCATCTTTGTTGTATGAAAATAAATAAACCAGATTTGAAGAGTAAAACACCACGAAAGAAAAGAGAATTGGATGAACCACTACATAGAATTAGAAATAAAGTAATAGAGCATTACTATTCATGTTCTTTTATATGAGAAGTGAAGTCACACTCTGGCAATGAGGCGTTACTATCTCATAGAATCATCAGGAGCTAATAGTCTCTTTACACTGATATGAGATCTAGAAAATGAAACAAAACTCTATAAAAGCTGAAAGCTGAATTTTGTCTGAGAAAGAATTAAAATGAGTGTAAAAGAAGCTAAAAATCAACTGAAACATGGGAGCACTTATCTGATTTAAGTTGATTCGATGGACGCCATATTTTATGTCAGAACTGCATGCGATATATCGCATCAATTGGTTCCATTTTTCCAGCTACTCGTCATTTTTCTCCAATTTTGCAAATCTGTTGTCAGGAGACTGTAGCACTCATTTACCAATTTTAACAAAGAAATTCAACATAATAAAAGCCTGGTTTTTTTACAGGAAAAATGTCGCACTCAAAACTGATATCGAAACTGCATTCGAATGCGATATTTTTCCTCTGAAAAACCACGCCTTCATTACTTTGAATTTGTTGGTCAAAATCATTGACTGAATTCTTTAGTATCCTAACAACAGAATTGCGATCTCAAAATTCAAGAAATATGACGAATGGCTGAAAAAATGAAACCATTCGATGCAATATTTCGCATATTGTTTTGACACAACATGTAGCGTCCATCGAATCACCTTAAGTCAATATCCAGCGATATTTTTCAGAAAGCAAATTGTGATCATGAAAAGTCAGGGAATTTTCTCCCACTGAGTTTGTAGACACCTTGTTAAAGTTTGAAGGCTGCATCTGGAGAATTTGGTTGTTCAAGCGTCACTTTAAATTAGTTACTTAGCGACAGAGAGGCATAACTCCACCCAGTGCAGATTTTCTCCAAGTCTCCACGCAGATAGTCTTCTTTTGAAAAAATCATCCCAGTAAGCGTTGCATGGTGCAAAAGAAGTCTATCGGTCTGATTTTTATTTCAAATACAGGCACGAATTTCAGATCAAAAAAATTTGAAATAGAGTTCGTAGGAATCTTAAAAATTTGAAATTCCGATCAAAAATGTGTCAGAAGAAGTCCTAAAGTGTTTCTCTCTTTCAGATTTGGGTGGTCAAGCAACCAGTATCGATGTTGTGCAAAATATCATCAAGCATGTCCAAGCTCTCTCTAAAAAGTGGTAAGTCCCTTTCTTCTCACTATCATCGTTTGAGTTTGCTCCAACTAATAATTACTCAACACTAACAAAGCATGAGTCTTCTTCATGAAAACAGGAGCGGTGTATAATTTTCCGAATCCTGTAATCACTTTTATTGAATGTCAAGCAAGTGTGCTGTGTTAAAATGAAAACAAAAATTTTGGCAAACTTTAAACACCAGCCCTGTGAAATCTTGCTTGCTTTAATTTTGTGGAGGCGGATCTTTTTATGGAATTATAGAGGTCTTGCATGCTGCAGGGATTTGTGAAGCATTTTTCCTCTTCCGAGGAAAATTTTGCAAGAAACACAAAAGTGCCTCTGGTTCTCTCTGTACAAAACTCCCAAGCTTTCTTAGAAAAACTCTCAAATTTGAGGTCGTAATGGATGGGATTGCTTATGTTACGGTGAGTATCCTTTCCTCCAGTTAAACTCTCCTTGCACAGATAGGGGGCAGATATATTAGGAGTGTTGCAATTCTGTCGAAGGATTGTAAAGCTGAATTCTTGGCAACTTTGCCAATGTATTTGCTCTGTGCCATAAGATCCTGAATGGATACAGAGGTGGCTTCACTATGGCTTCAACTTTGAGAGCTTTTTCTGAGCTTGGAAGTTTCTCTTAGAGAAAACCAGTGGCACCATCAGGTCTCTCACGAAATTTTACTCAAGTAGCACATGAATTGGAAATAAATATCTGTAGAATGCAAAACCTCCATTACATTTTTGAAGTGGATTGCAGATAAATTTATCCTTTTAAAAGAGTATAGATCCGCAGAAGGTTTGGATGAATACTCCCTACAATCATGTGAAATTTCTTAACTCAGGAAAATTAGAAATATGAAGGAAAATTCTGTACACGTAAACTAAAGATAATGAAACTGATTCACTTCATCCAGGCCGGTTACATTTGAATGTGTGAAAAAGTTGGTGTTGCATTTTGCTGATTAATATCTGCTCCTTTATCGCAATGGGAAAGCCTGTTCAGTCATAGTGCATGCTGCATCGGTTAAAAAAGTTAGCATCAAAGCAGAGCCATTTTTGCCATCATTCTCTGCGAGAAAAAAAATGGTGTTAGTAATTTAAAAGATAGTGAATGGCTCTGGAAGGGCAAAAGTAAAAGGTTAATTAAATATTGTCTTGTTCTGCTTAAGCTACTGTTGGGCATGAAAAATCATAAACAGGGTGATGAAAAGTTAAAATAAACCAAATTTTTAAAAATTTTATCATTGAACCTTTTGTTTTTCGAGATTTTGAATGGTGCGGAAGAGGGGTTTTTAATCAAACTTCATTGTGTTTCATGATAGCTCAGGCTCTCTAGAATGTTGCATTAAAAAATCTTGAGACTTTAATGCGGCCCCTGTTACTGATACCAGCATGCATTTGCTTTAAATTTAACTAAAATTTTTATCAATCAAAAAAGCTGTATATAACACCAATATCTTTTTTTAAAAGCTCATAAATTTTCAGTAATTCTAAAAAAAAGGCGAAGCCCTGAGTTTATTCTAATTTATGCCCCTTCAAATGTACCTTTTTAACTCTTTACTAATTTAACTCTAATTTAACTCTTTTACTGAAAACGTACATTTTTACTCCTTACTCTGTACTGAAATTTCATTAACTGATAAAATTTTAGTGAGATTTGAGGGTTAGGGTGTACCTTTCCAAAGAAGTTTGAAATGAAGCAAAAAATATATTTCTTTTATCCAGTGTTTCCCAACCAAAAGTCAAAATCAGACATTGACTGTCCCTCTGCAATATGATCGAAACTTTATTTTAAGTTCGAAGAGAAAAATAAAATTAAAATTTTAGAGAATTTTTAGAGTAACTCTAATTTTTAATATGAATTTCAACGTTGCTTTTCCTCTGAGACTCAATCATAGATTTTCAATAAAAGATACCCAATTGCTTGTTGAAGCATTACTGTAGGCCAAATAGCATTAAATCTTGAGAATTTATGATTAATATTATCAAATAACAATTGCCAAGGAATAATTGAACTTTCCTGCAAACTGACGATTTTACCGGACGAAGTAGAATCTTCATTCTTAGTCCTTGATATGTAGACTCAAAAACCATTTTCTCTCCTTTACTAGCCAATTTTTTTGACAAAAAAGTACATCCTCATCATGAATATCTTATGGCTCATCATTTAGAGATAATTCATGTGCACTAAAAATGTCGCCTCCATTATTACACATAGGATGAATGATAACTGAAATGAGTTTTTGTGTACTTACAATGATTTTGTGTCTTTTAATGATCAACAGTGTGTGCTTTTGCGTGATACTAATCTTGTTTTTTGTGTTGTGCTTCCCACAAACAGTCAAATTGTTGCTCCTCCTCATTTAATGTCCCGCCACGACACAACATAATGAAGTTTTCGAAATTCTGCCTCGTCGGTTGGATTCAGTGACTGTTTACCAGTATTTGATTGCAAGTTCAATTACTTGATTTATCTACATTCCAGTCGATCATTCCTATTATAAATTATGAGGCTGGCGTACATGCTTTCCTCGCTTACGAATCTTACTCAGGAAATGGTTGTTTCAAAACCTCAGCTAATTTTTTTTTAATGCAGCATTGTATCCTCAAACGTTCAACAAACAAGGTTTGAACTAAAGAAGAAGTCAGTTTTTTCTTCTATATCTTGCGTAGAAAAAGATTCACCCAACAGGAAATTCGATAATCAACTCCTGAACGAAAGTATCTTCAAAACTGATCAAATAGAAGTTAGATTATATAAATGATGACCTTCATGTTTTTGCCGTTCAAGTGATGTCAACAGTAAACACATATTTTTTTAAGGAGTTGATTTTCAGATGTCCCCCTGTGTGATTTGTTTTCCTATGAATTTTACTAGTGGCATAGTGCATTTATTCAAACCTTGTCTCAAAGCCCACCATACAAGCTGGCTCAAATTGAAAATGTATACGAGAAAAGAAGGCAGAATCAGACAGCTGCCAATGAAAAGGAACAATTTTTTTTTACTTTTTGTTGGTGGTCCCTGATTTCCCCATACAGATGAATTCTATCACATTTTTTTCCATGCTTTTGATCTCTTCCTGATAAATTTAGTTCAATCCAACTTTCAGAGCAAAAGTTTTAATTTTAAAGAAAATACAGAGTTTACCTCTTTACTTTATATTGCAAATCACTGTCTGTCTAATCACAGTTTTCTGTATACAGATGTCATGAAAGCGGAGTTCACAACTCCTTTCTTAGCTCAATATTAGTAATTTTAATTCGCTAATCTGAAAAGGTAAAATTTATGGAACTGTAAATTATGTTTCGCCTTTTGGTTGCTGTCCATGTGAACTTTGGTTTCTTTGATTGAAATGATGTTCCAGGTAGCAGCTCATTTGCCAGCGTGAGAGGACAAGTATTGTAGGGTAAATTGAAGTGCTGGGTGCAGGAAGGGCACTTCTATTTTACAGCGTCTCAGAATCTTGGCTGACACTTCATTTATTCTAAAAAGAAGGAATTGCATTTATTTCATTGACATTTTTATTGACTATTCTAAATGATTTCACAATGTTTTAATCGATAAATTGAGAAAAATTACTATCAATTCTCTCCTGTAAACTTTAAATCAGCAGCCGAATTTCTGAACTAAAAGAAGTGTCCTTCCTGCACTTTGCGCCGCAATTGTTCACTTTTTTAAACCAGGTTTACTTAATTCAATGGCACCATCAAGAAAATCAACTTTTGGTTTGCAATTTTTGCCAAAATTGTGAGCGACGTTACTATTCTAAAGAGTTTTTGATGATTATTATATGTTAAGTAGCTTTCAAAGTGAAGTCCTTTTTTAGAAACGTGTATTTTTATCATTGGCTCTGTTATGTTTAAGTCCTGAGAATTGTTGAACTTCAGCATTGTTAAATTTGGCTGTACTGGAAAAATCATTTCTAAAGCATTTTAATTTAAGTTTCGAAATTTGATCGTAAGAGTTATAAAGAACTGACCGATTTAGGAAGCAGTCTATGTGATGTCTATTCGCTGCCTCAGTTCCAGAGATTTTCTTGTAGAATAATTTAAGAGATTTTCTTGAAAGCTTTTCCTAGAGAGCTGTTCAATGGTGACACCATAAAAACTTGCCGTACCTTCGCTATTTGAAGTTGTAAACTTCCTCTTACATTTTTTTTTTTAAAGCAGGAAAACTAATCATTTTTGAAATGGGAGATTCTGTCAGATTTTTTGTCTAATCGAAGTCTAATCTAAAAATATCTTCTAAAAATTTCAAGCAGAAATTGTAATTTTCTTGCTTTACTTTAATTTTTGTTTAAAATTAAATAGAACCCCTGTAGTTAAGATGCATATTTATTTCCCTAGTCACACAATTTTTTTGCTGTCACCTCCACTGTTGTAGGAACATGATTCTCAGTTGCCACGTTTTAAAAATTTGTGCTTTACTTTAATTTTTTGAGCAACGAAAGGAAGTAAATTTTTTTCTAGCAAATCTTTGGGAATAATTTTGTTAATTTCTAAAAATTCTCAGCATTGATCAGACTAATTTTTGCTTCGGAAGTCAGAAACTGTCAAAATTACAACATCAGTGCCAGCACTTTTTTGTTCATAGTTTGAACACAAAATCTCAATCCTGTATATCAAGGACCCTGGGTCTGTTTTTCATGTTGCCAAGCTGAGGTAGCTTTAAAAACTCATCTTAGGCACTAATTCAATCCTAAGAAAATGATGAATATTTAAGAAAACTTTTACAAGTTCTGAGTAATGTAGGGGATATAAAGTATCTCATGAACTCCGTGCTATTCACAAACGAGACTTAAAGTTTGTTGTTTTCCAGACAAAGAATCGTAACTACATTTCAATGTTCCTAATTTTTTCCTCCCAAATTGCATTTTTACCCGGAGAAACTTAGATAATTTTAACCGAAAATTTTACTGATTTTTCTCATGATCTCATGCCAAAATCAGACAAATTTTGGACAATAATCGCAAAGGTATATTCTCTTAAAAAATCGAATTTTTT